GCATGTGTTCCGTATGAAACTCAAAATCCACATCTGAAATGTGTTGCAAACAAGTGGAGGTTATTCAGAAAAAATACAATAAAATGGACGTGATCTCTGTGCATGTAAGCCTTTTTGACATTGTTGCCATTTCATATCGATGTTTGATATGGGTGACATCCTTGAATAAAAATGAGCTGTCAACTTAAAAAATAAGTTATGGTGCAAATCAGAAACTCAGCATGCGGTGATGTCTTAAGCCAGCGAGAGGAAGACCGACCGAAGCAAGGGTGAATGAATGATGGGAGTGCAGAGACAGATGTTCCAGACAGCCACACTTAAATGAGACTGTGATTGTGGTTGTGCATGAGAGACAGCAATTGACCAAGAAAGGGAGAGTGAGAGTACAGCAAACTCAATTAACAGTCCGAGCTATAAATCACTGCCTGCCTAATGAACTCAAAAGAAAAAACGATCAAGACAGCAACCGCATGGCCATTACAAGAAAATTACCGGTTTCATAACATTTCTGGCAAAGAAAACTTAGAGGGAGACAGTGCTACAGACACGGCAACGGTCAGTCTCCAGACCTTCAATTGTTTGGTAACATTATAACTCCTTGGATTCCCTTTTGTCGAATAGTGCAGACCTGTTCTTTGTGACATACTGGCACACTTGGAACATGCAAATATGTGCCATGGGGAAGAAAAAAGTCAACAACAAAATACTAAAGGCATGCTAGCAACACTGTGAGGCAGTTCTCAGGCCCACCTGTAATTTGAGCTAAATTCTAGCATCATGCTAATATGCTCAAAATGCAAACATGCTAATGTTAGGCAGTCAAACAGATTATGGTATTCACTATTTTAAAAGCTGGGCAAACTGGGATTTAATTGTTGTTATGAATGTCAAATGTCAAGTATTGGATTATTTTTACTGAATTTTACAGCAATCTATAAGAAGATAGGTATTAACCCACATCATTAAGATTTGTTCTGGAGACCATGATTGTCTAAACCAAATGTTGTGCCATTTATCCAGTAGACGATCAGATACTTCAACAATCGGCAATAAATTAACCTACAAAATCACTTAGGAGTCATTAGGAGCCATCCTCTGGGGACTTTGAATGGTTGGTCCAGAACGATTATCCAAACATCTATTGGTGGGATTGGTTTGCAAAATATTCAGCTGCAGTGTATATTTTTCCGTTTTTATTAAATGTCAGGTGTTTTATTCACAATCCTTCTGAGTGGTACAAAGTGAAGGTAGAAAACAGTGAAAAGAAAAGAAGATGAGAATAGACCGACCCCACCGAATGTCATTTTGTGTCAGAATGGAGTAAAACATTGAACAAGATTGATGTCATCAGACAGACATTTCGTGTCGGGTCTGAAGCCACTGCACTGAGGGGCCGTGTTTTTAAATTGGATAAGTTACAAAATGGCCCCGGGAATGGAACTGAGACAGATATTTTGGATCAGACGTGAGCTTGTTGCACTGAGGGACCTGCTCTCTTAGTATGCTGCAATGAAACTGTCCATTAGGGATAAAAACACCATAGTGGGTGTGAATCTCTAAGGAGCCTATACACTATAAAAGGCATGATTCTGAATGGAAAAGCTAGAAAATAGGTTTTAAGGCATTGAACCATGTGCTTTTGGCTTTCGCAGATGCTAGATCCACTTACAGTAAAGCACGTTTTTTTGTTGTTGATGAAACTGTCAACCAAGGTGATTTGGGGTGATACAAGTCTTGGTCTCTAATAGAACCAGCTGAGAAACCAATTTAAGGGATGGTACGCAGATAGGCATTGAGGGTATTATGTAAGCTAGTTTTTCTTCTGGACACATTTTTTGTATGGGCCAGTGGTGAAATGTCCCAATGTAGAGACATTAAAGACAGATACAATTGGAAAAAAAAGCCAGTTGACACAATTAGGCATGCTCGAGGAAGCAAATAAAGCGTTTTAATGCATGTCCGAAAGCAATACTCACAGTTTTTTAATGTATATGCACTTAGGGGTTGTAAATGATGTAACAAAGTTGCCTTATTTAAAAAGAATAACACAATTCATTTCATAGTAAAATTCAATAAATAAAGACTTTATTTCATGTAATATTATAATCGTTAAAATATGGCATGATTTAATGCAGTTTTTGTTGTTGTTTCTTGTGCCTAGGAACTAATGTGTTTTCATGTACTGGCACTGCGTGTTTTGTTGATGCACTGGACAACTCAACGTGGGTTGATGTATTTTATTGAAGCTCTGCTGCAGCTCGTGACAAAGTTATCATTGTGACAAAGTTATTAAAAAAAGGAACTTTAAAGATTCAAATCTCCTTTCACGACAAGCGGCCAATGAGGTATTTGTTCTACAGTATGTTTTCATGTGGGCGTCATGTCCTATTTTCATTTATATATTTGTATGTGTAGCACACTATGCTAATGTATTTGGCTATGTATATATGTTGTTCGTTGTTGTAGTTCTCACGGCGTAACGGAAGAAGGAAGAAGGGAGGCTACAAGAATAAACGCCCATTTTAAAGAACCGACCTGTGTCTGTGTCGTGAAGAGAGCTACTGGGGTTATGTTCTGAGACTCAGTTGAGATTAAATCTGTGATCTCTGAATAAATGCAGTAAGAATATTCTATACAGAAACATCCCAGTTTGATAGAAATCACTTTGATAGCAATGTTTTTGAATGGACCTGCTGTGACATTGCAGTCTGACAAATAGAGACAGAGAGAACATATTTATTTTCGTGCGGGAGCCATACAGAGACAGACATTTGTCAGAGAAATGTACCAGTCAGACTGTAGACACCCAAACAATCTGTGGGTTTGTAAATGGAGTGAACAGAACAACTTATCACGATTGCTGCAGCACTTTTGACAGGAGGTTAAGTGAGACAAGGTGTAGGAAGTGTAGAGGAAAGTTACTTATTTTCACTCATATTTCATATATTTATTTTGTTGTCGTAAATGTTGACTGATCCATTAAATAATCCATTAAATAATTGCAATCTTATATGCAATTATATTTATCGCCATACATGAGTGTTTTTTATGTCTTCTCAATATCAGTTCTGTACATAAAATACTTACTAGTTTCCTACTCTATGTAATAATAAGAAAACCCACGTAAATGTAACTTTTTCAACAGTAATTGTGGTGCGTTTTTCCGCTCAAACCTCTACTATAATCATGACATAACAAGCTCAATGGCGACAAAACTTTAATCCAAATGCACCTTTTGCTTTAAAACAGTATATCGTTTAGAGTTGGAGGGTTTATAGATGGACTGATCAGAATGTTTTTTACATAAAGAAGGAGGCAAAGACAAATCCCATGGCTAGCAGGAAAGGAACAATTTGACCAATGCATGTGTACATTTCTCTCTGAGGCTCATTACTAGTAGTTTAATCTCTAACATTCCCTGAAAGTAATCTCACTGTGGTTCGGATAATTTGATGAACAACCAACTAGCATAAAGGAAAAGTCATTTATTTCTGCTTCTTCTAATATGCTCACAGAGGAAGTTAGAGGATAACTAGAGTGCATAACAAGAGCTCTTCAGTTCATCAAGAGTTCGGCGCAGCAGTGCGGATGATGGGTGAAGAACACTGCAAAAACTAAGCCTAAAAAAACAAGTAAAATAAATAATAAAATGAGTAATATATTACTTAATATAAGAAAAATTATCTGCCAACAGAACAAGAAAAATTCACTTGCCAAGACCTTCTTAAACAAGTAAATATATCTAGCCTAAAAATATCTACATATATCTTAAAACGAGTGTTTTTAAACCAAAAATAAGTACATTTGAATTGATGCAAGGAAGGAATATAATCTTATTATAAGGAAAATGTGCTTGAATTCAGCATATTCTACTGCTATTGTCCCAAAATTCTATTTTATGTTAGGCAACATTTCTTAAATCCAGTGCAGCTTCACTTTAAACAGGTATATTTGTCTAGATACAAGATAAGATTTAAGAATTATTTTCTTAATATGTAGAAAAATCTACTTAAATTCAGCATTCGGTGCTATTCTTAAAATAAGGCTAAATACCAAGAAACGTAGAGACAAAACCTTCAAAAATCTTTAATCCTATCAAGATATAAACTTTGACTGCTTGCTTAAAGAAAAATGAGTCTCAAATGATTTCTTTTAATGTTTTTATTGTTTTCAAACTGCGTAGTAAAGGTCAGTCATCAGATATGTCTTTAGAAAAAAAGAGAACATTCTTTCACTGTAAAATACAACACAAGTGAAATCTCATGACACTTTTGACTCAGCGAACAATTTTCAATAGGACTATAAGTATGAGGGGCCGCTAGGGACATTATTCAGAAATACCGTTCACTTACACATGTGAAACACTCTCACACACACAACTGAAAACAAAATAATTTACAAACATATCTAAAAATCTCTCATATACACATATGAAACGCTCTCACACACATGACATCCAAAGTTATTCACACACACATGTGAAACGCACGCACTCACACCTGAAACTCTCTCACACACGAAACGCTCTCCCACAGATATGAAACGCTCTCACACATGAAATGCACTCATATACACATGAAATGCAATTTCAGTATGTTGTGTGAGAGGGATTTCAGTTGAATCTGAAGGCATCTCGGTTGAAAAGGAAGTCGTTTTAAAAAAAAAAAAACTGCGAAGAAGCGCACATTTCTAAAAGGCGAGATGCCTTCCGTTTCAACTGAAATCCCTCTCACACAACATATTGAAATCGCATTTAATGTGTATATGAGTGCGTTTCATGTGTGTGTAAGAGCGTTTCACATGTGTGTGTGTGTGAGGGCGTTTCAGGTGTATGCGAGTGCGTTTCAGGTGTATGCGAGTGCGTTTCAGGTGTGTGTGTGAGTACGTTTCATATGTGAATAACTTTGGATGTCATGTGTGTGAGAGCGTTTCATATGTGTATATGAGAGATTTTTACATATGTTTGTAAATTATTTTGGTTTCAGTTGTGTGTGTGAGAGTGTTTCACATGTGTAAGTGAACGGTATTTCTGAATATTGTCCCTAGCGGCCCCTCATATATAAGTGCCCTAATCACTTATGAACTTTTTCCAGTCGGCCATAGCCTTTTTGTATGAAGTAGTCATGTCACGGTCGTGAATGGCGTCCAAGAGGACTTCTGTCTGCACCACAGACAGGAGTGTTGCAATGCACTTAGGATAGGTGAGGTGAAAGGTGTAATAACATGCCATGAGATACATCACGCTTTCATGAATGTCCTCTTTTGGGAAGATGAGCACGGGCATGGTTCCAATGGCCAGTATACAGTTGGTTTCGCAGATGATGACAACAGGGCTGGAAAGTGGTCGTGTCTGAAGAAAGGTGTTTGGGTCTTCTGCAGACTGACACAAAAACAGACAAAGAAATCGTCACAAAAAGGGAAACAAATATGATCACAACATTTCACTCTTTGTATCGACATGAGAAAATTCTTATACATTTTCTTACCTCAAGGACGTGGAGCAGAGCCTCACTTGCGTGCCTTAACTTCTTGGGTGGGGCCATAGGTGATGGGAACATCTCTGGTAAAGCCTTCATCATGGCAATTGAGTGCTTTACTGTTGAAAAAAAAAGTGTCATTCCGTTTCCTGCAGTCAGTTAATAAACAGACATGGTCAGAGATAATAATCACCTTTGTCAAGCTGCGGAGGCCTCATGAGCTTTTTGAAAACTCCATAAAACTGTGCCCTCTCACAAAAGGTCCCCCACCGGGTCTTAAGTTCCGTTAAGAAGTGGGAGTTGCCTTGATTGAGGACCCGCCGTAGTTCATCCATTAGCTAAAACAACGAGAGAGAAAATATGTAGAAGAAATATTAAAATCTACATTCCAAAGGTTAGTAATTCGTCTCATAACTGAATTTCCAAAAAAAGATTAATATGTGTATAATGTGATTTAAATGGTCACTTAACAAAAATATGCACATAGAAACATGTGTTTTTTTGCAAATGTATGTCTTATGCACACACTATTTTTAAATACGTATTGTGGACCAATAATACTAACAAAATAATGTTGTGTGTATCAGAAGCACATTTGTGAAATTAGTTATTTTTAAATAAGTGGAGGGTTTTTATATATCTATGCAGAATAAATATTTGTATTCAATAAGCATATTTGAGTCATTCATTTATAAATAATGAGACAGATCTGATTTAATTGTCACACCATTTCTCATTTCAAATTTGGTCTAACGTTATCTGAATTAGGAAGCATAGTTGTACAACATTTGCTTACATGATCCAGTTCTCCAAAGCAAGGATAAGCTTTAAGAATCTTGGAAGGCCTGTCCTGCTCCTTTGTAACATCAGAGTCAATGAAGGCCCTTCTCGCTTGGATTTCGAGGTCCAGGAGCTGAGCAACATCCATCTTGTTCGGTCTGGCCTTAGTTTTATACATCGCCTGTAGAGTCTTATAGTGTCTCGCCTGGGTCTGTGGGCTCTCCGTTTCTGATGCTAGAAAACATAAACCCCACTATTTTCATTTCTGATGTTAAAGTTTAAATGAGACATTAACACACAAACAGCCATAGTGACTGACACAGGGCAAACATAGATGAGTAATCTTGAATAAAAAAGGGTTCTAAAATAGCTTATTGATATTATTAAATTTTCTTGAAGAGATTTAACTATCTACTATTTCAATTTATGTACTTACCACATAACTGTTCAGCCTCCGGGGTGCTGCATCGAGATGGTGGTGATCTCTCCAAGATCAAGGTTGATGCGGTGGATTCATCAGTCTCATCAGTGGACGTCTCATGGCTGCTTTGAAAGCTTAAACTCCTAGGCCTCTTTCTTGAAGGAGTTGAACCCTGCTTCTTTTTGGGGGTTGTCACATTCTGGACCCTTTTCAAAAGCTGCTTTTTCACAGTTTCCTTACAAGACAGACATACAACAGGTTCTGTTATAACTCACATAAAACAAACTTGTATCAAACAAAATACACCATACAAGCAGTTGCACAGAGCTCTTATTGAACTGGATAAAACACATCACTCCCAGTTTGATAGGCAAATGATTGCAGTGCTTTGTCTGAACCATGAGTTGAAAACTTGAATAGTGACATACCCACTCAGCTCTACTGGTTTGAGATCTGTCCCGAAGCATTGGGTAGTACTCAATCAGACGCTTCGCCATTACAGTGAGTTCACGGCTGCATGGATAGTTAAAGTCATCCCCAGCTGCTCTTTTAATGGAAAGCATGCTTGTGACTGTATTCCTGATTAATCGACAGCGAAGATCTTTGGAAAGGACGTAGTCTCCTTCTTCTCCAGCACGCTGCTTTTCAGAAAAGGTGCTTCGTGATTGCTCCAATTCTGTGTCTGTGTATAAGACATACAGTGGACTGGGAAGCTGTACGGTTCTGCTGGCACCATGTTGGGGTTGTGGGCTTTGAGAGGAGAAGGAGGGTGGAGAAAAGACGGGGGATGGAGAGGGGTTGGGGCAGGAGGAGGAAGAGGAGGGAAACAAGGAAGGTTGGGGGTAGGAATAGGGCTGAAATCACAAGTCCCATGGGAGGTACTCGGTCTACACAGGTCTGTCTCCTGGCCCTGTATAAAAGATGCATATATATATATATATATAAAATGGTATTTACAATGAAAAGAGCACTACGCTGTGACAACAACAAAAATCAACACAACCAAAAAACTCCACTTCAAATAACTGCATGATGACTAGGAAAGGCTTACTTGGTAACAGGTTTAAAGTCCCTCAAATGTTAGAATCTGGAATTACCTCATTTTCATCATGATTGAGTCTCCAAATGGTTCTTCTTCTTCTGAAGTGCTCAGGCCCGGGAAGGAGATCACGCAAGTCCTCCTTAGAGAGGCTGGGCAGCATGTCTCTGCTTATATTAGCAGCTGAAAACACATTTAACCACACAGTTAATAATAAGGTAAAAAGCAACTAATAACATATTTATCTAAATACATAAAATGAAAGAGTAATGTACATTTCTGGCTGGCTTCACAAGATTTTCTTTAACATTAAAAAATGTATTGCACTTACTTATAATTGATTGAAAAAATTGCTGTTACAATAGGTTCATCCAGAGTTAAAGTTATTTTGGCCAAATGAAAAGGCACCAGGGAAATGAATAAACGAGGCATGTTGTTAGGATAAATCCATAACACAAATGTGTAAAATCTCATAGGCTATAAAAGTTATACATTTTCAGCATCTTTTATAGTACAATAAAACAAATCTTGATGTTTAAGAGCAAACACAGTTCAACTTATTTTCAAAACAGTGTCTTTACCTTGAAATCTTTATTCAAATAAGCATAATTTACGTCCCAAGCCTGCTTATATCCAAAGGACAGTGTAGTTTCAATAGCCTGCACTGCACTATCATACAACAACGCATTTGTAAATGCTGTCTACAACAAAGAAGGGCGCCAAAGATGGCTATGCTAGTGTACAACAAAGAAGGGCGCCAAAGATGGCTATGCTAGTGTACAACAAAGAAGGGCGCCAAAGATGGCTATGCTAAATACTTTACTGTCAGTTGTGGAAGGCTCATTTGCTTCTTGACATTATTTCTGGCAATAAAACAGTATCAACTAAAATGTTAACCACGATTTGTCGATTGTGCAGTTATTAACAGCTTACAGTAGATATTAGCTAAGTTAACTAGATATGTAGCCAGCCTAGCTAAGTCCAACCGATTCAAATAATGTAAAGCTTGCTGGAGAGGTGCAGTATAAAATACAAAATTACATTACCTTTTAATGCTGCAGTTGCTATAGGATCCAAGCATGTGATATCTCTTCCATTTTCATCCATGGCGTAGTTTTAATGTTCAATCACTTGCAGAGGTTCAGTCTTCTGCCTGAAGGAAAGCTAGCCAGCAACGTCCTGAAGCTAGGTGCACCTGACCTAACACACGCCCTTAACGGACCCTCTTCGCGGTTCCCATTGGAAGGTACCATTTCTTAAAGAGGGGTGACAGAGATATTTTATATGTTGCAAATATTAGGAATATTAATAACTGATGCGGTCATAGGTAACATTTCAAACATCTGTTGCTAGATGCACATCATTCCACAAGTTATTCCCAGGCATTATTATGACGTGTATATATATATATAGGAAGACGACTCACCGGCCTCCCCCATACAGCTAGAGAATGTGATAAACCCACTTCATTAGTTATTTTCCCCAACGTGTACATGGCCTGCTGCAGAAACGTTTTAATATAGTTAACTTTTGGAAGATTTCACGATGCTTTGGCGGTGCGTTATCTGCTGCGTTTTTATAACTTTTTCACTGAAATTATTATTGAGCCATATTAATCGACTGCACAGTCGCAGCTCTGACTTCAGGTTGCTCTGTGGCATTGATGGATGCACTGAGGAATATAGAGTGTACAACTCATTCTACCATCATGTAAAGAGAAGACACTTTCAACATCTTCTTGAAGACACCAGACCTGGCGACGCCACACGTGGAGATGAAAACCGACAGGAGGAAACCCAAGGACCGCAGCAAAAAGTAAGTAACGTCTGCTAATTCAGCTAAGATTGTTAGCTACAGTGTTTGGGCCACGTGGCCATTCGGATACAGGGTTAGTTTCGTACATTGTGTGATGCTACAGATAGCGTTAGCCAATACTGATCAGCCACATTTAGTTATTATAAATCCCTTAGCATTAACTAATGAATCTGCTAGGCTACAAGCAGGCGGCATCTGTCAACCATATATTTTTAATTCAGCAGTTAGCTATGTAGTGTTTTTGTGGGGATGAAAAAACCGTTAAAAATATGCATTACGTTGGTGTTCGGCCACAGTTACTAAAACTGTAAATCACAAAAATTATGGTTTTCCACTTTTTCACTCTGCAATATTCTGCAAGGTGCATGCATCACTGTCAGGATCTGCACATGATTTGTTGAATTCACAGTTTTAGCAAATCAGAAATAAATCTCAAATTCTTTACCCACTATTAAACTTAAAACAAAAATAAATAGATTTTCAGATTTGATTAGAAAAAAAAGTTTCATGGTTTTGTTTTCTGGACTGAAAAAATGTAATAAAGAGTGTTACCCAGACAATGGATAAAGTGCTACGGCTTACAGTTAATAATTGTTGCTGAAATAACTCTTACCCCCAAAGTTTGTTTAATGTGAAAATAATCTTAGATAGAAAGGAATTACATATTTAAATTGCTCTTTTAGTGAAGCTAATTTTTTAATTTTTTACAATTTCAAACAATCTTGTTTCTTTGATATGTTGTACACAGGACAACATTCAACCCGATCAGCTTCCAGCCGACTCCAGCAGCGAGGATCAGAACCTTCACACACCTGACTCAGTTGAAGAGCAAATGGGCATCGACCAAGATGGAGCTGTCACAGTGCACCAAGTATGTTTTCTTTGTTGTTGACTATCTACTGAAAATTAAGGGCTGCTAAATAAAGGTCAGGCCGATATAGTAGTGGCTAATATTGGCCTAGCATATAATTTATATATCAATATTATGTTGAAATATTTCATTTAAATTCACCAAATGATTCATAAAACCTAGAGGTATATGTGAAGATGTATTTCTATGTGCTGTACTAGCAAAACTAAATGAACACATAAAGAGTTAGAATGGCTTATTGTCTTGTTGGAGTACTAATGTTTGATATGTTTTGGTCAGAGTTACAAAATATTAAATTATCTATCTTTGCTCACCACATGTCACCAGTTTTTTATCATCAGATGTGCATACATTTAAAGATTATATATTTCTGTCACATTGAGTAATGTTATACCTGCAAATGTCAAGTTACTACATTTTGTATTGTAGGATCTGACAACACATGCCACTGCCTTTGTTATCAATGCCCGATCCAAGCATCGTCTGTCACAGGTAAAATGCTTCCTATGTAACCTTTTTCGACTAAAAGCATTATGCCATGTGTGATCTGCTTCTCAGAACATATTAACAGGAAATATTTTGTGTGCGACAAAGAAATGCAAATGAGCATTTATTATCCAGAAATTCAAGCCATTCACTCTGACTAACCCAGTAAGGGATTTCCCATATTTTATTACAATTTATAACCAGACACAGTGTAGCCATATATTAAGTTAGACCTAGTTTTTCTTTGAGAACAGAGCACAGTATTTGGCTACCTACTGTACACAGTTAGCAGTTAATAGTGGTTCACTGATGGCCGAGTTCAGTTTTAGTGCTTTGTTATCCACTTTACTGTTGTGTCTATGTCATAAGCAAAACTGTATATCACATAAAGCTACAGTGATCATGATAATGTTTACCAACATCAAAGATTGATCACATCGCTTTCAATCTCTCATTTTCAGAAAGGCATGAATGACATTGTTGCTGGGGTACAGCAGTATCAATCATCACTATTGGACAACCTCAGGACGCAGATGAAGGAAGTTCTAAAGAAGAATTCAGGAAGTACAACCAATCAACTTGGAAAAGATGCAATGGATATATTTGACAGTTTCATTGACCCCTTTGCTAACGTTTCAACAACATTTCGCCAGAACAGTGTTATTAGGAAGCAGTTTTGTTGTGTGGATGCAGAGGAAATTCCAATTGCTCGAACCATATGCAGGAAGAAACGTGGAGGATCAACAGATTTTGTCATCAAAGACAAATTATTTTATTATGTACCATTAGTCAAAAGTGTAGAGCAGTTCCTATTACATCCGAGGATTTTGACTATGATTGAAGAGGTACCCCAGAGGTGCAGTGAAGGTTTTTTTCATGACCTTGTTGATGGTTCTCTTTTAAAATCTCATCCCTTATTTTCAGAGAAACCAAATGCACTGCAGATTATTCTGTATACAGACGAAATAGAGATCTGTAATCCACTAGGATCCTTTTCATCAAAGAACAAGTTGTTAATGGTGTACTACACCCTAGGAAATATAAATCCAAAATACAGGTCTAAGCTGGCTGCTATTAGGCTACTTGCGATGGCTAAATCAGCAGACCTCCGTCAATCTGGTGTAGATGTAATATTGAATAGAATAAAGGAAGACATGGATGCATTGTACAGTGGTGTTAAAATTCAAACTATTAACGGGGAGAAAACAATACATGGTGCTATGGTTTCTCTCTGTGGTAACACCCTGGCACAGCATGAACTCGCAGGGTTCAAAGAAGGAGTGGGCTTTGCTTACAGTAAGTGCAGACACTGTGAGTGTTCTTTTGAGGACATGCAGTCACAATTCAACGAGGATGCATATATTAAAAGAACATTGGAGAATCATGTCAGACAGTGTGATGAAATAGAAAAGGCTAACACAGACTTGCTTCGCAACAGCCTTAGAACAACATATGGGATCAATCGAAGGAGCAAGTTAGTTGACTTCCCATCCTTTGATATTATTCGGCAAACCCCGCAAGACATTATGCATGTCATTCTTGAGGGTATAGCTCCTCTGGAAATTAAATGTGTTTTGAATCATCTTGTTCAGTCAGGAGAGTTAAATCTGGACTCTGTGAATTCAGCTATTCTTGGTTTCCCTTATTCGCCTCTAGATGTTAGAGATCGACCATCCCCAATTTCTCCGAGTACACTGATGTCAACTGATGGTAAACTAAGGCAGTCATCAGGGCAAATGCTTGTCCTGTTGAGGATATTGCCATTTGTTTTGGAACATTTGAAAGTCAATGCATATGTGCAGTTGATAATGGACTTAATAGAGATTGTTCAAATAGTGTTTGCACCTGTTCTTACCATTGCAACTGTGTCAAGGTTAAAGTTACTGATTGAAAGTCATTTGAAGCATTGGAAGGAGCTTTTTCCAGACCACAATGTTACACCTAAGCAGCATTACATGATACATTTGCCATCACAGATAGAATCATTGGGTCCCATGGTCAGACATATGTGTATGCGGTTCGAGTCTAAGCATTGTTTATTTAAGCAATGGGCCTCCAAGCTCAATTTTAAAAATGTATGCAAGTCTTTGATTAATCAGAACCAAATATATGAAAGCTGCCAAAATGTTGACCCTTCCAAGCACCCAATTTTTTCAAATGAAAAGGAGATGGGTCCTGTATCTGAGGTTAGAGATCTACAATATTTACATGGGAAATTGAGGGACTTCCTAGGTTTCAGTGAAATTAACCATGCTGAATCAGTGAAATGGCTTGTGATAAATGGTAATAAATACATTACTGAGAAGTCCTTGATC